CTTTACAAAGACTTGGTGAAGTCTAAAAAACGAGCTTTTTTGAGTACAAAGCAGAAATTCTTGACAAAGGAGTTGATGGAGAATCCCAAATCCTTTTGGAGATGGTTAGCTGTAAGGTCTTCGAAACCTACTCTTGATCCCAAGAGTTTGATTGACTTTGCTGAAAAGCTTTATTTCTTTCCAAACGTTGCATCAATGCCTTGTTGCCAAGGAACATCAGGCTTATGTTCTGAATCAGAGTTGATGACTCAAGTCATAAAATTAGCAAATGGTAAATCAGAGAATTTGGATGTTCTCTCTATTGAACTTTTGAAGTGAGAAGGAGATGTTATTGGACCAATACTCACCAAAGCGTTAGAGAATGCTGATATGTATGGTTTTATTTCAACTTGATCTTTACGTAAGATTGTGCCTATTCACAAGTCAGGAAGGTGGACTTGGTGCAAACTATCGCACTATCATGATGGGTAGTGTTTTTGCCAAGTTGTTTGGCAAATTGATGGAGTCAAAGTTGAGCACATGGACTGAATCTCATCGAAAGAGAGCGCAGTTTCAAGTAGGTTTTCGCCCCACATACAACACCATTGAACATATCTTGGCTTTGCGTGTTTTATGGGAGAAGCTGAAGCTCTATACTTGACCATCACTTACATTAGAAGGGTGAGATCTCTTGATGCTCCTCGCCTTCCTACTCAGGCTTTGAGTGCCACACGTGCCAAAGGATGGTTAGCGGATGTGATAACTTGATCTTTGAGGTGGAATGTGACGGAATGCGATTGGGACCTACAACCTATAGCACTACGTGAACGTCTAAAGGAGGAGTTTCTGAACATTATTTGGAGCAAGCGCGGCACCAAGATGCAGTTTTATCAACTTCATGTGAATCCTATGCTTGTTTATTGTGAACATGATTACCTACTTGCAAGAATCTCTACGTCCTTACGTCATATTATTGCTAGGCATAGAAGTGGATCTCATAGGCTTGGAATTGAGGAAGGATGTTGGCTTAATATTGATAGGAGTGAACGTATTTGTAGGCTATGTGTAGAAGAGAAGTTGAGGATGAAGAGCATGTTTTTCTTACTTGTACTAGATATGCACAGATTAGAGTGACTCATAATATAGATGTAGAGAATTTTTATTCTTTGTTACAATTAATTCTTTTTGATTTGGGTTGTTATATTAGGGACATTATTAGTTATTGTTCTAGTGCTCTTGGCACTAGCTAGGGATTGGCCTTTGGGGTCTTTTCCCTTGTTTGTGGTTGTCGCTTGTATTGTGTTTTTCAGCCTTTTGACCCTTTGGGTCCCCTGGGCTTGATCTATTACCATTAACAATTTTATCATTTATCATTTGTATTATATTTTCTTTCTAGAATTTTCCGCAAAGTAAATTTATAAGTTAGAAGGTTTTTGTTCCTCCATGTTACAGATTTTTAGTTAGCTCTTTATGTTATTACTCTATCATGTTAAGGCTACGACTTACTTCTAGTTAAATCTCGTGTAAAAAGGGCACCTTGTGTTAGGTTTATGTCTAAAACTTTCCACGGAGTAATAATATAGTTTACAAAGGTTAATGTTTCATTAACATGAGTTAAGGATGAGATTGTTGAGGAGGCAATGTGTTTTGCAATTTTGGGAGATTGGAATGACGTACAAAGCTTAATTTGTCATTCAACTGCAAATGCAATGCAATAATTAGTCTCTATAATGTGTCTTGCAAGAATATTCTGAAAACATCAAATGCAAATTTAATTTTGTTCATTTTCAATCAGAACAATGAACATCTTAATAGCTCGGATGTCAAGTTTACACTTTGAGGTACTTTCTACTGCTTCTCTATTCACAATGTACGTCGAGATGTATGTGCGTTGCATTCAACTTTGCCAAGTTCGTAATTTGGATGGTGTGGATTAACCTGATTGTTTTATTGTTGGTTACAAATATTTTCAGGCATAAGTTTTTGAAATAAAAATGTTTAATTTTCATAATTAGAGATTGAGTTTGAAGTAAAGTTTCTTTGTAATTTTAGATGATTTTTTTGGTGTCAATAAAATGTAATCTTCATTCAATTTGATTTTTTACAAGATAAATAAATGCAAAGAATAGTAAAATTTCTGTTTAATCAACTCCTTCAAGCATATTTCATGCAAAAGATTTGCAATGAACTTGAAAAATGCATTGTTTTCTTGTGGAAATAGTTTGTATTTCAAGTGAGAGTATAGATGATGTTGTACATGATGAAGGCAAAAGAAATTAGATTTTGAGACATCCTTTTGGAAAAGACAAACAAATGAAAAACCATGTACCAAAATTGATTGGATCAAAATTGTTACTTATTGGTGTGCTTTTGGACTATTTAATCATTCTTCTTGGATTCTACACACAATATCTAAAAAATGCACTTATCCAACTCTCTATATAAATGACGACAGTAGATGAAGATCAAAAAATATAAACTTCAATTATCATCTGAAAAGAAGATGTGTTTGTAACTTTATTGTTACATATTATAAATACAAATTTGATATTGTAGTCATATATTACAGACAAAAGTATGTGTAATTTGTTTGAATGTTTTTATAGTTTGAATTTGTTGATGTATATATTATCATTGTGCAAAAATTATTTCATATATATTTATATATATTATGTTGATTTTTAAACTTGTATTGGAGAAATTATTCTAGTGATAAAAGCAATAGTTGTAATGGAAGAATTGCAAAAAACGTAGTTATTTCTTTGAGTCCTAAGTGTACATATTCTCCACGAATTACAAACAAGGTCAGACAAAATGTAGATCAATTATTTAGATGAAGTTGGACTATTACACAAGTTTTTGATATGTAGTTAAAACATCATATTCAAATATGATGTCCAGAATGTTCTTACAATAATCTTGTTTTGCAGACATGATGCACAGATTACCTAAAAATGACTTCATTCATCTTAAAGATCTGCATAACATAAAAGCAAAGGTGGCAAGGAAAATTTATATGTTTTATGAAAACAACCAATAATCTGTGGAGGTTTGGATCAATGCGCATACTCATTTTGTGCTTTTACATCAAAAGTATAAATCTGCAAATCAATCTTGAAATTTCATGTCGGTTTTTCAATTCAAATGGAAATTAAGGATGATGATTCATTAATCTAAAATAAGTATTTGGCATTAAATAACATGTTTGCAACAACCAAATATGAAGTAAATTTTGATTTGGTTATATCTTGAGTTGTTGATTTTTTTATAACATTGTGTAGTGAAATGAATCATAGAGATGACATACATATTGCTCATTTTCTTTTAAGTTTTGCATCTATATATATTGCACATCTTATTTAATTCCTTGAAATTAATTTATGTTGTGTGTTATCATTATGCAGTTTTTTTTTTACATTTATTGCATTTGATCGTCATCAAATGAGATTGACCATTTTTTTGGGCATTCAACAAAAAAATTTACATAATTGATATTGAATTTTTTGCAAAAGACTTAAACGATAACATTATAAACTTGTTTGAAAACCGAGTTGTTTTATAATTGATTTTGATCATGAAGAATTGACGCATTGAAATCTGTATTTCCAATCGTTTCACTCATTAATTGAACATTTTACATTTGAAGGTAATTTTGAGATGTTGTTTGTTTGATATAATGATTTATATGCTGATACATGTATAACGCTTAGATTACTAGAGAGATTTATTTTAGTAATATTTATGTATTGAAATCTAAACCTCGTTTTGTATGTTTGCGGAACATGAAAGGAAAATTTGATCCACGTCGTGAAAAATCAAATGTTGATACTGAAAATTTCATATGCTCTTGGAGAAATAATGTATGCTCAATGTGAAATTATGACGCGGAAACGTTGGATGCAATTTTAAACTAGATTTTTTTCAAAAAAATTGGCTTTTGTGAATTATTTCAAACAAGAATGGATAGCAAGAATAGGTATGTATGATTAGGCAAAATTATGAGGAAAATTAAAAATGCACAAACACACACTCCTACATTGAAAATACATGGCTCGCCACTGAAGATATTGATATTATATTGTATTGATATAGAACACAAAATCTTTAATTGATAAAACCCTTATTTGCATCACTTAGAGCTTTTGTGAAATTTCTTATAGAGTGTCAAAATAATAGGATTTTAGGTTTATCTCAACCTAAGTAACATGAGTTACATGAAGACTAGAGTCAGCTTTTTTCATTTGCTGAAGTTTCTTAATTTTCTAAAATTCTACCCTAAATAAAACTGTGAGGTCTAAACTTAAGAAAGTGAATTAGGAGAGCAATGTGTAGAAAATAAAAATTACAATATTGATTACATTTCATTACATATTTCAAATCATAAGAGGCCCCTGATTGATTTTGTCATTGATTGGTGCTAAACGGATTTTTTTTTTCTAAATTCGTCGCTATGAAAGAGAGATCCCGTGTACCGAAAGCATTGGAGATTGTGGATATCTTAACGGATACAGTACTTTGGCTGTAGGTTTTGATTTAAGAAGTGTGAGAACGGATAAATATCGGTCATACCATTCACCGTCGTTGAGATTTACTCGCAGTCAATTATTGAACCGCGGAGTCGCTTGACGTGAACTACCTGTACAGTACTCCATAGTGTACCCATGAAACCATAGTAAACTTCTTCAAAGGTCATAGACTGGTTAACGTCACAGGTGTAAAACAGGTTCTACCTTATTCATGTGGTTACCTGGGAGTATCCCGGGGTGGCAACCGTGAAAATCATGACAGTGCGAGCATCATTCAAACAAACTGTAGAATATACGCGTGAGTCCGTAGAGTTCAGAGCTCGTAATACAAATGTGAATCGGAGTAGTTTACGATTCCTGTATTTGGCCTGAGCGTATTGGCACAAAGTGGGGTCCACATTTTTATGTGAAGTGTCCGGGCTGATGTTCAATTGGTTTGCTCGAGACGGGCAGCGGGCAGGATGGCCGAAGAAATTGGTGAGGACTGGTCTGGTGAAATCATGTTGTAGAGTGAGGGCGAGAAAGGGAGAAAGAGAATGACCAGAGAAAAAGGTGGAAAGGGAAGGAATTATTGGCGAAGACGGACTACCGAAGAATAGCGAAGTGCCGCCTAAAGAGAGTGCGGACCGTAACCCGAGTGAGAGTCAGGCGTAGTCCTCTTCTGTGTTGCCTCTTCCTCACCTCCGAGGTGAATTTCTTTGAGATCTAAAGCGAGAGAGATCGAGGTATCTCAACTTCTTCCCCGTTGCTCCTGCCTCCTGCCTCCTTTAGTCGATCGCAGGGCTTGCACGGCGGGAAGAAGAAGAAGCGTTGTCGATCTCAAATCGTTGTAGATCGGACGCAAAGGAAGGTGCTGAAGTAGGGCTTGCTTTGCCCTAAGGTCGAGGGAGGGAGAACTTAAGCACTGGAATTGGGCTGCGATTGTTTTTCAACTGGTGCATTTGGTTGACGCAGCAATGGCGAGCGAGGAACCATTAGACCGAGATGCGCTGTTTAGAAAGCTCAGAGCTAAGTCAGAGAACAAGGTGAATGAAGCTTTCGCCTCTCGATATAGCTATGAGGCCTTGGTACAGATTGGAGCGCCTGGTCATGTAACCCCTTAATGACCTGAGAGTCAGGGGTCATAGATTTGGAAGGTCGAGAATTCTAATGGTTTTGCTTTTTCTTCTCTCCGTTGGTTCGTTCTAGTGTGCTGGCCGACGTGCAGTGGGCAAATTTCTGGCTCGTTTTTAGGTCTGGCAGCTCCTTTGCATTGACTATGGTTTGGTATCGGCGCTCGATCTAAACCCATCGATTTTGGTTAAATATATGGTTGCAAACATTCCTAACTGCGGAACATTTTTCGCAGATGTTTTTCGATCGCGAAACATCACAAGGAGCGGTTGCATCGAAGTTTTTGTGTGAGTAACTTGGCGGAGTCCATCGCGTGCACTCGCAGGCAGCTTGTGAGTGTTGAAACTCAGAGGCTCATACATGCGGTTGCACAATTCTCTCTTTACGAACTTGCTCGGAGAAACCATTCTCCGAGCAATCCGGGGTTCATCGTCAGCCATTATTTTGTACCCCTAGTCCGCCTAAGTTTCAGTCTACCAATTATTGGTAATAGTGAGAATGATCGGAAGACTACCATCTTTATGCGATGCGCAGATGTTCAAGTTTGCTGTATTTCATAACTTTCCCATGTTTTCTCTTGAGTTACGGTCGAGCTGAATAAGGACATTTTCACAGTTTCGAAAATGGAGAGCAACGAACAAAGAAGAAGAGGAGCATGGGATCGTAAGATGCAAAGCAGCGCTGAGTGTCGACGATTGTGGACTTTGGTGAATGCTTATCGGCGCCTTCCTCGCTTAATGCCTCTATTACTCCTGAATGTCGCTGGTTTCTATACTGGTCTTGTCACTGCTGCTGTACTGGAGCAGTTGTACAAGGTAAGATTTTACTATTTGTTGCGCTTCTTCATTCAATTGAACATAGCGCTCCATGTTAATGATATTCTGACTTGTCTGTTGTCCTTTTGGACACATCCTCTGAGTAACCAGGCATTTTATGAGATTTTGGTGTTTTACCGTCAATCTTACAAGCATAGGAAATAAACATTTTGGCCCTCTCCTGTTCTGTTTACAACATCTATATCTTGCCCAAGGATATAATAGAAAAGGTTTGGCACTCTGAGTCGAAGGCCCAGCCTGTTTCTCAGGTTTTCCTTGTCACTGTGTATAGAACTTGCAATTTCTTGCTCGATACGAATAGAAGAGTGATTGGGACTTGGGATTTAGTCACGTGACTTGATGTGTGTAAGGATATGCAGCTTGTAATTTGTCCTGTTTTAATTTCAAAGCAGACAAACGTTGATATTTCAGGAAAATTATTGGGAGTCGCATCCAGGACATGCTGTACCTGTCATGCATCCCCTACTGTACTTCGGTCCCTACAAGGTTCTCCGAGAAGATTTTTCAGAAGAGGGATCCGGTTGAGGAATTAAGTAATAATTTTGCCTAGAGGAATTATATGCATCTACTGCAAGGTTTGTTTATAAGGCCTTGCGTTCATGTGATCAGAGGGATGTTACCTCCAAATTGTTGGTACTATCAACTATTTCAGATCCGTTTGACAATGGTTAGAGGAAAACAAGAACAATAGAAAATCCTGAAATTCTTGAAACATTGTGTACAACTGATGTAATGTAGATAATGGAGTTGGAATGCTCATGCTAATGCTAATAAAGTAAAAGAGCTGACGTCAAACGTGGAGATGAAGAACCAAGAGGTCAAGATGGAGAATGAATGACTTAGACTTTTTTGTTTGTTGGTGGAACTGCAAGTGCTTGAGGGGCTACATGTATATACAACTTCAGTAGACAATGAAGTTACTGTTCTTGCAATATGGAGATTTAAATGGGTGATCGAGACAACTTTGTGGACCCAGACATTGCATTGGTACACAGGTACAAGTGCAATGAGTCATGCTATAGAGGTTTTGTCACATTAATTAGCCTGACTTTTACACCGAAACACATTTGCAGTATGTAGTCATATCCTTCGGAGTCCAAAACTCAAATATACGACAGAATCATTGATTTTGTCGCCGGATGGTGGGATCTTTTTATTGCAATCGAACAGCATCTTAAACCTTGAGGCAATTTTTTTGAAACTTATTCAAGACATTTTAGATTTTATAACTGGCAGCCACGGACATGATCTCTGCTGCAACAGACTTATTTGATATTCTCCACATCAAGAGTAGGGTATCACTTTCAAGTTACTCAACGAGCAAAGTTGTCAGACGTAACAGGCCGCGACTCTATCACTCTCATGTTTGTTTAAATGGTAAACATACAATATAAATCTTTCGAATTTATCTTCTTCAAACCTAAAGGAAGTCATAAGTCAAACAATTCAACTGTGAAACATGAATTGCACGACTTTTAATGTCAGGTCAGATACTGCATTGCCAAAAAGAAATTGCAGCGGAAGAAGAGGATAACTTCGATTGCCTGTTCCACGCCGTCAGAGTGCTGTAGTGTTCGATTCCACACTAAAAACCAGATGTTCGGAAGGAATGACTTCCCAGCAATAAAAGTCAATCCGTATACTCGACAACACAGCTCACTGAAGGAACTGGTTTCTTTCCGTACAATGCAGATGCCATGATTTCACCAGCTGAAACATAGTCGTATCGGGCAAATCAGATTTCCTCTTCGAACTCACAGTAGGTGCACGAATGAAAGCAGCTCGGCGAGGAGAAGCGACCATTTCGACAAAAAGCCGAAACGCAGGACGTCGGGGCTAATTTTGAGCTCCTCCTCGACCTCTCACAGTAGGAGCATGACTCAAAAGAAGTTTGGCGAGGAGTAGGTGACAAGTAATGTCATAGCTTGGCAATGTGCCCATTCCTCCCGAGGCTGACACGCGGCACCTGAATGATTTGTGGATCGCAACATGCGCATATGTAAATTTCTTCCCTTGCCGAAGCTGGCTGCATGTGAGAACCTGATGCTCGAACCTCTCGTGAAGATCTCATCACTCTGTATGCTTTCTTGGTAAGTCAAGTCAATGTAAACAGCAGCCTGGGTCGAAAAAAGTATGAAGACAGTGCTGCAGTAGTGTCCACAGTCGGGACCTGCAAGGTCTACCTTAATTATCTGAGGTAGGACTGATTCACTTTCTGACCCTTTTCACAGAGAGGAATTGGCCTGCGTCTACTGAGTCTTCAGTGTTAGTGAAAGAGGACTTTGCGATCGATCAAAACACATGGATTGGTGCACGAGGATCAGCAGCATGTTTCAATTGCTCTAAATTAGCCATGTTCTCGTTGTAGGAATATCATCGCACGCTGTAATTGAATTGAAGGCTTTAGGTTTATGATTTCTGCGGATGTGGTATGTCCAAGTCGATGGGTTTTAAATGCTGGGATTTGTGTGGATAGATCGCAGAGGTGCTTATCAGCCGTGTCCCTTCAATTTCGAAGTGTTGAAATTGTTGTGCCAGTCGGCAACCAGATGCGGTGCCTTAGGAGGCAAGGCGACAAGGGTCCCACAACCAGCCGGTTGTAAATTCGAAGCGTAATTCTACTCTAATCGTCTATCATATTCTGCTTCTCTCAATAATGGGATGCCGGGAAAACGGCTATCTTCTTTGTGAAGAGCTTAGATGGGAGAAATGCTGTTTGACGACTTTGATGTGGATGCTCTCTTGGACGCTCAGAGCAGCGATGACGATGGCAACGATTTACCAGAACTCGAGCGATCACTCGATGACATTCTTAATGACGATGATGACGAATTCGCTGATGTCCTTGGGCATTCTGTTCCCGTCAAGTCGTCCTCCACTGGAGCTCGTGAGCCCAATAGTCTCGACTTCGATCCTGCCACAAACGAGGAGCACCCAACCTCAAAACTGGACGGGGAGCTCTTAGACAAAGGTCTTTACGAGCTAGAATCTCATCGATATGGAGATAACATGTCCGGAGCAGCAAGTGGAATATTGATCACCAGCATAGAAGCTGACCAGAGAAATCTTTCCATAGCGGACACTAGTATCGTTGCTAATAGCAGTAATGACTATCCTGAAAAGGAGCCTCCACCCCAGACCTCTTTTGCCCAAGGTTCACCACGTTTTGTTGAGGCGGAGATTGATTTTCAGGGAAAAGGTGAGAGTCAAATTCGTTCAGGAGAGGATGGAGTTGAGTCAGAAGCTACTGGAAGGGGTGGGGGGGCTGGAACCATCAGCGGTTGTGAGAGCTATGGGAGGCCTTCTGCACCAATCTCAGTGGATAAGGCCCCTCCCGCTGCCGGGAGCAACTTTAGACGGAGACCTGGGGCAGCATTTGCTGCAGCTGCAGCCGCATCACGTCAGATGGGCCCTTCTGACTCTGCCGCATCGAAATTTGCCAAAACCTTCGTTACACGGCAAAAATACATACTTCGTCAGACCTCGGAGTACAATAGATCAGAGGTGCAGAGGATGAGTGGATACCCCAAGAGTGCAGATCAGGTTCCAAATGGAGTAACTCGGGGTGACGACATTGCGAATGATCCATTGGAGTCGGAATTCTCGCACGACGATTCAGATGGTAACAGGTTCACATTGTACTGTGGAATTGACACCCAGGAGGAGGATAATGTGAAGGAGATAGGAAATGATGAAACATACACTGCTGTTATTGAAGAGTGTCTTGATAAAGTAGAAAATCTTACTTCTACCATTGCCGACTTGCAACAGCAGGGGTCCAGTTCTTCAAATTCTTGTCTTTCAGAAATTGCTACAGGACAGAACGATGCCGACGAAGATGATGATCCACTTTTGTCTTCGGGAGTGGTTGATGATAGTTCCTCCTCAAACGATGTATTAGAAACAGATGATGAAGATATCGATGATGGATCTCGAGCCCGTGATCCCGTAGAACTTGAGCATCAGACCCACGAGCGAAGTGTATTGGTAGACACAGTGGAGCCAGAGTCAACTGATGTAGCTTCTTTAAATACTTGGATCGAGGGGATGCAAGAACATGTAATTGCCAGCACACTTAATACCCATTCGCAGGCCATCAAGATATCTACGCTGAGAACTTCAACCGAATCAGATGAAGAGCAAGCATCTTCAGACGAACTTTTGCAGCATTCGGATTGTGCTGATGTTGAGAGCCAAAAAGAGATTCGGATTACTGAGGAAGAGCCACAGCGGACGACTTTACAAATCGCAGAAGAGAGAGAAAAGAAAGCTGCCAGTTCAGGTTTACATTGGGAAGAAGGAGCGGTTGCCCAGCCCATGAGACTCGAAGGAATTCAAAGAGGTGCCCCTGCCATTGGTCTTCTGCAGCTTGATTCAGGAGGATCTTTGTCCTTCGCTCTGAAGTCAGCCGACCTGCGACGTGACCATGGAACACCCCAAGCTCTGGCTGTACACAGTAATTTTATCGCCATAGGAATGTCAAAGGGACCCGTATTAATCATCCCTAGTAAGTACTCGGCAACAAAAAGTGCAGATGAAACTGATGCCAAGGTTAGGAAATTCGTCCTCCTCACTATGCTCAGAATTTAATGTTGAAAGCTACGAAATTCGATTCTGCACTAGTGGCGGATATATCAGAGTTTTGTCTTGCACAGACTCTTGAGGTTTTCTTTTTGGCTTGGAGTCATAGGGCTAATCTGACTCAGGATGTACATTTTATTCCCTGTAAAAGCACATCAGTTTATAACACTGACAGAGGTATTCGTGTGGCTATGTAGCCTTATATTTTGATCCCCCCGGCATCAGAGAAACATCAAATGGCGGTTTCTTCCATGTCATTCAATCAACAAGGAGACTTACTACTAGTTGGATATTCCAAAGGCCACATCATTCTCTGGGATGTGCCTAAAGCGTCTGTGGGTAGACACATCGAGAACAACAACGGTGTACCTATCGTACATGCAGTTTTCGTTGGGCAGGATGTTACAGCCTCTCGCACTATCAGGGCCATTACTGCGGATTCCAGGGGGCAAACGTTACTTCTCACTTTTACGCAGATTCCAGTTTTACGCAGATTTTCATTAAACACAGCGGTCAGTAAAAGACCGTTTGGTACAGTATTTAGATCCGATGTCAAATATAGGATCGAGGCTCAAAATGGTCATAGATGCATTGAGCGTTTCTTCTTTGCATCGAAAGAGGTTGAACTTCAAAAGAATCATATTGGATAATGCTTTTTCCCGGCAAATCGTTGCATTATAGTTGATTCACTACCTTTTAAAAAATGGTCAATTCATGTTCGGTCATCACGAAGTATTCTCCTGCTTGCTTCTGTCGTGACAAGACATCGACTGGTGTTTGACTGGTTTCTCTGTTGCGTATAGGTACTACTAGATGGACAACGCACTGGAGTTGTGCTGTCACTTGCCCCATTGTTACCAAATGAAGGGACTCATATTCCTGGCAGCGCAAATGCATCACCAAGTGGAATATCTTCGTCTCCAATAAATCTTGGAACAGTGATGAGTGTAGTTGGTGGAGGTGCAAGTAACGATGTAGGACGGAAGTTCCTGTATGATGGTAGTTCTTCGAATGAAGAAGGTGGAGGGTTGGTTGTGCTGGCGACATATCAAGCAGCCCTTGTGGTAAGTCCCAATATTTTCTGGGTAGACATGGTTCAACTAGATTCTTGATCAGATCAAGGCGTTGCTCTCAATTGAAGCGAGAGGTTTACTCCTCAATTGTATGTGTTCTTTGTTCAATTTCTCTTCCTGTGACCTTAAACTAGAGTGTATTTTGGCAATCACTTTGGGTTAAATCAAGCAGTAGAAAAGGAGCAAAATAGAGTATAGAAATTAATCGATTTCCTAGTCATTATTGTCAACTTTGTGGTGGGTTCACTCCAGACATGCTTCCAGAGCATATACGTAGCTCGGTGTTGGATAATATGTGAAAATAGCTAGAACTTTTACTCACCACTGATTTGCTCCTTGGGTTTCTCTAGTAGCGGTACATTTCAGTCTGCTTATCCGGCTGGGTATGTTTCTCCAATACTCATGAAAGTGCTGTGGAAATGACGAAAGAGGGATACGCTCAATTATTGAATTATGTTAACTATCAGTGTTTATTGCCCACAGGTACGTTTGCTGCCTACCATTGTAGTTTGTGCTAGGTTTGTTCGACCAGAAGGAATTCGTGATGTTGCTATTCCCTACACAGCGTGGAGGCGCACCAAGGCAGCTTCCTCGGGGACCTCATCTTCTTTAAGTACAGCTAGTGCATCATCTGCGGAGCTTTCTCAAAGCACTCCTTCGAAGAATATTGACGGACGTCCTTCCGAGAATGGTCATCTTCGGGACGATGGACCGGTTGAAGCTGGCACAGCTAAATCAAATGGTGATGGAGGCGAAAGTTTCCCACTACTTGCTATGGCTTGGGACACAAAAGTGCTTGTTTTGCAGTTGGTGAAGGGAGAGTTGAAAATCGTTGCTCAGTGGGACTTGGATAGTCCAGCTATTGGTGTCGCTTGGTTGGAGGAGCAGGTAGAGTTGATATGTATGTAGGTGTCTTGTTCTACTAAAGCTCTAATTCACCCAATTAATTTGCTGCTACTTTATGATTCTAGGAATAAATTCAAAATTGAGCCCAATATTTGCGGTGATTGATCTCGTGATAAACAGATGGTGGTTGTTGCTACAGCGAAGGATGAACTTTGCCTCTTTACAAATGAAGGTGTTGAGATAGAACGAGCAGCTTTGTGTAGTGAACATGGGGGATTAGGGGCCGTGACATATCATACTCACTTCTCGAATATGTATGGGAATCCTGAGAAGGCCTACCATAACTCTTTAGCAGTGCGCGGAGCTGCTTTATACTTGCTTGGACCTGTTCAGTTGTGGAGGGCGCGACTATTGCCATGGCGGGATCGAATAAGTGCTTTACAAAATGCAGGAGATTCGTTGGGTGCGTTTCACATTGCTATGGAAATCTACGATGGACGATCTCAAGGTGTCACAGGTCTACCAAGAGGACTTGATGCAATGCGAGAGGCTATAATGCCAACTCTCCTGAGCTTGCTTTCTTCGTATATCGACGAAGCCTTTGCTTATCTTTCCTTGGCATTTGGTTCTTCCCCTTCCTCCTCATCAGGTTCCGAGTCTGCCATAGTTAGCCAAATTCATTTGGGAAAACCAGACGTGGTTTCATCAGCAGTTGCAAGTGGTACAAGGGATTCAGTAGAAGAACTAGCTGTGGAAGCCAGGGAGCAGTATGCAAGAGTTGGTGGGGTGGCCATTGAGTTCTGTGTTCACATACATAAAACAGAGGTTCTATTTGAGAATGTCTTTAGCAAGTTTGACGCCGTGGGTCAGCGTGGTAAGCCTTCTTACTGCACCTATACGTTCTGGCTTTTGGCTCCCTGTAGAAATCTTCCCGTGTTTCTCAAGAGAGAGATCTATCTTTCCACATATTACTTTTTTTAGACGTAGAGCTACTTCTCATCTGGCTTAGATTTTCCTTTCTAGTTGCTCGTGATGAATGAAGCCATTTTCGATCTTTGTTGTGGATTACTGTCCTTTAGTACTAATAAGTCTGTTCTATTGAGTCCGGGAGTTTGTGTTAGCTTCATAGCACCATACATGCTGTTGATGCCATTCCTTCTATCTGTACGGTGATGTTAAGAATACAGGTTTGGATTGCATTTGGCACCTAAGTAAATCTGAAGGCTTTAATAAATTGCTTCTTTTTTCTCATCCAGAGATATGCATGAGGTAACTCTTATTGGGCTCGGGTTGCTGTTTATACATGTTAACATGTTTCCTAGTTAACATGTTTCTGGTTTGAGGTATCTGTTGTTCAAATGTCTAACAGAATCGACTGTCTTAGGCACATTCTTGGAGCTACTGGAGCCGTATATATTGAAAGACATGTTAAGCGGCCTCGCACCCGAGGTCACCAATCCTTATGCATTTTGCAGCTCCCCTTTGTTTTCTCGTCTTTGCTTGTCCTGGTTACGAATTCCCGGACAATTTTTTTTTAAAGCCAGCTGGACCAAATCCTTGTTATCTGGCCAACAGGTGATGCAAGCTCTGGTGGAACACTACAGCAGTCGTGGGTGGTTAAACAGGGTGGAGCAGTGTGTCCTTCATATGGATATTGCTTCTTTAGACTTCAACCAGGTTCACTCCTACTCAACAAGGACTCAAATTATAGAAACTATTCTTTTTTTTACTCTCCAGACAATTTTCTGACTCCTGTACAAACATGGTCATTGATTCATGTGAATGTGTGTTGGGAGTAAATGGCGTGTAGAGTGTGACTGCGTTGTCGGTAATTCCAGCTGTTTATGTTCATACAGACGTCAACTCTAGAGTGAATATGTATTCACCGCCTGAACGAGTTTTGTGGTCGTGCTGTGTGAAACAGGTCGTACGGGTTTGCAGAGATCATGGACTATATAGTGCACTTATTTACCTCTTCACCAAAGGTCTTGATGACTATAAGTCACCTCTGGAAGAGCTTCTTGCCGTATCTCAGCAGTCAGTTGATCCTCAACAAGCGAGAGGGTTCGGGTATGTACTCCTTGCGAGAGCAATGGGAAAGTACCTAGTGCTTTGAGGGCCCTGACGGAATCATCAGTAAGGGTGTTGCCTCTACAGAGTTTATTTCATGAACGCTACAGAAATCTTACCCGTCAAACCTAAGAAGTCCAGACCAATTTCCTGAATTTCTTCTTGACACAAAAAGTTGTTCTTGCAGTTTGAAATTGCTGGTCTACCTCAAGTATTGTTTTTCTGGTTTGGCATTTCCGCCAGGTAAGAGACATATATTCTCCGCCATCTTTCCAATGTACGTGTGTACGTTTTAGACCCAAGAGGTTCAGCGTGGGACAAGAAGATTCCACATCGGAAAGATGTTTGGAGAGTTCTAAAGTGTATTCAAAATAACCTCTTGGTATGTGGGACAAAGAATATACTGTATATTATGTATGAGGTGTCAAGTATATTCTACTCCTATTCGTCGCGACGACTTTGTTAGTTATTCTGCTGTTGTTACGAGACATGGCAGCTTCCTTATTCTCTAGCAAGAGAATGATATTCATTCTCGAATTTTAGACACTTCCCAGCTCCGGTCGTATCTTTAAGGATAGATTTTCCAAATCATGAAAAACATGTCTAGTTCGTCAGGCCGACAAAATTCAAGGCTGTTAGGGTTCTGTGAGAAGGCTTTTGTCAGGACATAAAGGTCAGTTGCTTGATTGTTGCAGCTCTGAACCTCTATTTTCTAACTGCAGGAAACGGCACACTTTCCCCGTCAAGATTGCCTCATCTGCGGACTGAGCTACTTGAGTATTTACTTGACGTGATGGAGAGTAAGAAAGAAGTTATTATGACTCCTCATGGTCTTGGACAAAAGTACTCTAGGCTCTTGTATCTTCTGACTTTGGACACACAAGCAACGCTTCAGGTCCTGGGCGCCGCTTTTCCTGAAGATGGTCCTTTGGGTGTTGGGAAACGAGACTGCGTGTATCCTCTGATCAGGACAAATTCTGAAGAGGATGGTTTGAATAAGCTGGTGGAGTTACAAATCAAAAGTCATTCTTCCCCAAACCAAGAGGGCATTTCAGAAGGTCTGAAACTGGCTCAAATCACAGTAAACGCCCTCATACATGTCCTTCAGACTGTTGAAAGTGCTCGCAGCAAGTCAAGGACTGAAGAAAAATCATCAGACGCAGAATACTCAACGGAAGAATGTTGGCCGTCTGACAGGGACATTGGTGACATATTTGAATTTGTCGCTTACTTTGCTGCCGGGAAGTATGCTGTGGTACCAACAGCAGTTTTGTCCCTTATTTTCGAGTATCTAACCTCTCCTTCCCTAGAAAACTTGGAGAGAGTACAAGATCTGGAGAGAAAAAAGCTGGATATTTTGAGGCAGAGAGAGGACTTGATGCTTGCTGTGCTGAAGGCAGTCCCTAAGTCAAGCTGGCAGGCTGAACGGACACTCGACCTTGCTCTGAATATTGGATTCTGGAAGGTTGGTAATTTTAATTACTTTATCACCGGCACTTCTTTCAAAAAGTTTACTCATTGTATCGTATGATGGATTTTTTATAGTCGGAACTTGTGCAGTTTATAGCAGCTGAGTTCTGGATGTCACATTATCCCGTAAAGAATGTTTGCGTTTCAACGAAACGAGAGTTGATCATGTTAAATTAAAGAGTATCATAGATTGTAAACATCTTTGATGTTGAACTTGCCTGCATTGTCGTTGGGTGCAGGTTAAAGCACTTCTGCACGCCGAAAGGGGTGACTTCGCAGCGGCATTAGAAAGCTATCTAAAGGCTGTGGATCGTCCACAAGACCCTTTCACCTTTATTTCTGAGAAGCTTTCTTCTGATGATGGTCTGAAAGGTCATCATTTGATTAATTTCCGTGAAAGTGTTCTGTCGCACATCCCAGAGCTAATCCAATTAAGCCCGTATGTACTCTGAGACCTGAGTGAATTTTCTGTGTATTCTGAACATTGCAGCCTCTCCATGTAGCAGTATCACCAATATGACTTGCAATAAAGTCGCCGTATTTGCAGTCATGAATGCTTTATATTTTATCCTGCACTTCGATGACTTACCCTCTCGTTTACCTTTTTTTGAACAGAGTCTCTACTTTGTTGATCGTACTGAAGCACCTCAGTAATGAGAATCAGCTAATTCTGAAGGAATTATCCCCGCACCCTAGATTACTCTTCAACTACATGAAGGCCATCATGAATATCCGCTCTGGTGGATTCAGTTACCCTGAGAATGAAGCGGAATCACAGGCTTATCTAGCTGATCTATTGGAACGCTCAGGTCTTGAATTTACGGATGAGATGGCTGAAAATTTTGTGGAGGTATGCTGGAACTCATTTCCTCTATGTTTGCAAATAAAGAAAGTAGCAGTGTCAATTTTAGCTCACACGGATCTGAAGCTAAGCGTATGGAGATCCTCGTCATATGACGTCAGCTTTTCTCATAATGTGCAATTACTTGTTGATTCATTGCATAACTTCTCATGTTTCGTATTCTCGTTTTTCTTATCTTTTGCTGTCAACCCTAGTGTTGCGCTCTGAAGGCCTGGACTTATGCACATAGTTGAATAGGATGGTAGTTTGAGTATCATTGTCATTGTGTGTCTCGTGGTATCATCGTGACTAAAACTTTGGGCTTGTATTCTGTGACCACATCAGAGTTTACCTTGCTGACATGCTTTGTTTTGTGCAGTTGCTTTGCCGTTTTGAACCCAAATCCGTACTTGCATTCTTGGAGAGCTATGAAAATTACCGGCTTGAACACTGCTTGAGATTGTGTCAGGACTATGGCATCACTGATGCAGCTGCCTTTTTGTTGGAAAGGGTTGGTGATGTTGCCAGTGCCTTATCGCTGGTAATAGCAGATGTAGATAGGCTCCTGCAAGAAATGGATCTGGCCATTGCAAAGTATTTTTTTCTTCCATCTGCTTCCAAGGGACCTCAGATCTCAATGGACGATATGGTTAAGGACAGACCAGAGGTATATGAAATGTGTGTCAGCTTCTAAAGGGGTAGACGCATTTTTTTTCTGTTTACCCGCGGACCATATAGATCAAAATCAAAAGAGCGGCCGTAAGTTGATAGTTACCAAAGTAGCTGTACTCATTAGTATATGCCTTTCACAGACTGAAGACCATAGATCTCGCATGCATTTTACGTGTCTTATCAAAATACTACACGTAGAAATTTAGTGTAGGCCTCGAAAACGTTTTATATGTTAGAATAACCTTATGAACTGACAGAAACAGCGTCTTTGTTTCATTTTGAAAGCTTTCCGAAGTTGTAAGTTTCTGCCTTGCTTTCTCAACGTATCTTCATACGTGCTCATCACTCATTCTTGTTGTCGCGTTTTAATTATGTAGGTTGCATATCAAGAGTGAAGATAATGTTGGCATTGACTTGAACGATTTGCTCATGAGCAGGTTACAGCCGTACACTCTGTTGTAAGGGTTGCAGTTGCTCTCTGCCAGCGCAACACGTTTCGACTGGAACCCAAGGAATCCGAGAGCTTATGGTTCCGCCTTCTTGACAGGTGCCCATTTTCCATCATTTTAAGTTAGTAATATCTGTTGTGTACGATCAAATTAATACCCCTTGAACTGAGTAAATTATAGCCAGCTTAATGGTTTCGAAGTTAATTGATCGGAAGTCTAGAGTGATGCCTGGTGGACGTAAGAATGACCTTTTTGCTAATAAAATTTCTATTACTTTCAGGTTTGTGGAGCCTTTACGTGAGATCAATCTACAACTGAGAAAACTCAAGACTAGGGGCCAGTTTAATTTAAGGACTAATTCTAAAAGCGACTCAGCTTATGATGCGACATCAAACACGGACGTTTTCTGTTGGAAGGTTGTTGGAATTGATGTTGCAGTACAAGCCGTTCGGACCTTACTTGTTCAGTACATTGGAGAAATAGTGAATGGAATGATGGGGTTTGTTCCCATATCTGTTACAATGAGCAAGATTCTTGAAGACCATGGTGGACACGAGTTTGGGGATTTTAAAGCCACGATTTTGGACATGCTCAGTGCGTATGGATACGAGCGAGCAATTCTGGTCAGTTTTAAACCAATTACGCCCTTCTTGAAGTTCGCACGAAGCATTTGAATTTGGCCCATCTGACAATGCTGACATTCTTTCTGTTTTGCTACAGGGAACTGCGAACAAATTGATAGAGGATGATACCTTCGAGAATATACATGCGCTGCGTCGTGGTTGTAGCCATGCTTTTATTCCCTCTGCTAACATCTGCTCTGTGTGCGGCCTTCGTCTTGATGAGCCCTTAGATTTATCTCACTTGAAGTCTGCAGCTGGAACTGTAGCCAGCACGAGTTCTATTTCCACAAAAAGCAATGATAGACAGAAAGGGAAAGTTGATGACAAATCGGGATCAATGCCGCTTGAAGAAAACCGGTTGAGGGTGCGCATCTTCCCTTGTGGTCATGCCTCTCATTACATGTGTGTTGATTTTGAATCCGGGATGAAAAAGAGGACATTTTCTGGTTTTGTGGTTTGTCCAATTTGCTCCTATAGAGGCAAACCTGTTGACTTTTCTCACAAGGCAAAAGATTCGACCTTGTTGAGAGACTCCGTAATAGAAGTTGGTGGTCGAAAGAGAGGAGATCATGAATCAACGAACTTGTCACAGTTAGGACGAATGCACAAAACAACAAATCGGATTTTCGGAAAATCACGGGTTCGTTTATATTCTCGATTTCCTCCCTCTAGTAGTTAGTTTGGTTATGATAGCCTAGTTTATTTCTGTCTCCCAATTCGATGGAATGAGAAAATACTTATGACTTGATGGTTGCAGTAATTCATGTTGAGACCATCTTTTGACGAGATTATTCGTGAACCTTACATCACTAGTTGCAGGTATCATCAGACATTGTATTATGTTTCACCCCTTGCATGTAAGAGAGGCAAGACTTTTTGACGATGTAATTGCGTTGACGGACTACTCACCGTCCTGCAGTTGGAGATACTGAAACAGTTAGAGAGAGGTACGGATTTACATGAACTTGGGCCGTCACTGGAGTTGAGTCTTGCACCACCAGTCTTGACCTCCTACAAGCGACCAAACTCGCATCCCTCATCAAACACTGGCTCTGTCTCGGGGAGAGTCAACTCCAGGTCTTCATTGACTTCAGCAGTCATGAGCGTGCAACGCAAGAGCAAAGTTCGTGCGAGATACTAGCCACGTACTGTCTGGTGGGTTTTGTCTTGTCACGTCGAATAGAATAAATGAATGTACCGTCGTAGTGGTTATAGATAACTCCCGAGTGAATTGTGAATTATAGCGTTACAAGGTAGGTTTGAAAATCTATAAATTCTTTGGGTGTTCAACTCATTTTTGGAAGCTGACTTTGGTTCAGATCTTTCACTCTGGGACCGAGCGATCATGCATATCCGTCTCGTCGTAGGTAATATCAAAGCTTCTCGGTGCTTCAATTTCATTCATACGCCTTCAGATCAACGCCATTACTTCGTTTGAAGCTCACAGGGTGCAGTCTTTTTTGCAGTTAATGCGGTGGGCTTGCATGATCTGACCTGTTTTCGAGCCTCTTTGCACTCGTTTTAAATGTGCGTTGTAATACATCTTCACCGTTTTCAGGATTTTGGCTTTCAAACAACATTTTACGTGCCTTAAATTTCTTCCTTCCTGACGTTATTTTCATCATCATCCAGGTCATCATGCTCCACAACGGTTAGTTTGTGAGAGACCGCTAGACGCATACCCTATTCGGGTTTGCTCTGTAAGCTGATCCGGACTCTGCTCTGCAACGTTTCGTTCTTCAGTGCAGTTTTCACAAGTCACGTTAATGTCGCTGGCGGTGAGGGATTGCTGACAATCTGTAACAATCATCTACTTGAGGAGATCGGCCCTTTGATTCTGAACATGTGGGTGATTGCATCATGCTGGCTAGTTCTTCGGAGCAGAGAATGGAGAGATGTGTGCATTCATTCATCTGTGTATGAACGGGGGTGCAAGTTATCGAATACTGCGGGACGGTTGATCCAGCGCCGATGAGCTCCTTAGTGAAGGATACAACACCAATACTGATCCCTTGTATCATCGAATTTTCACAGTTTACTTTCAAAATAGTTACCAACCTCTTAAAATCGCCAAGTTGGACTTTAGCAAATTGTAGAAGATAATTCATTTTGCTGTGAATATTTTAGTAGGTCCATTCTTTCGGTGACTCTAAGCTACCTTGGCCATTGTCAGGTTGAAGTAAAGATGAGGTACAGCATAAGTTTGTAGTTGTGATTCATTTAATGGTCAGTAGCAGTGAAACAACTGTCATATTACAATGAGTCACTTGAAGCTCACTATTTCAACACCTGTCTACACTGGTCTACTGTATGGCTTTGAAATAACGTATTTGGTTGTTTGTGTGTTATGTAACCTTTTGACCGCGATAATTCGGATATCTCAGCTGAAAGAGGACATATTTTCCTGGGTGATGCTGTTGTGGCCGAGCCCCAGCTTACCGATTTGGTTTTATCCCTGTAGGACTTGATGGGGTGTTCCCATCGTTTTTGCTTTATTACTGGGTATTTATTAGGCGTTCATTGTTTCTTGCAATGATACATGATCGCTTTTAGTGAATCAACCTGTATGGGATTCCGAACGTTTCTCCCTGGTTTGCAGCTCTCGATGAACTTTGCTCTTCATATTCTTTGTCTAATGTGCTACCCTCTCGAAATCGTGCATCTTTTCACTGAGAGGACTGTGTTGGACTGTGTTGCAAGTCGCAGCCGATCTGCGGCGATTGCTTTCGTTAATTTTTTCTCCATTGGAATTTTTTGTGTTGGGGGTTAGCTGGCCTTGCTTCTTATGCTGTTCCGTGCAGGGAGTATTTTTCCCCGCAATGAGGGAAACATGACTTAATAATATCCCAATTCCACCTTCCCTCTGTTTCGAAGCCCTGTTAGACTCTTCAAACAATGATCGGACGGGAAGTCGCTTGCATTTGCGACGAAACGACGACGAGAAGCAACCCCATGAACCAGAACGCTGGGAGGATATGAAGAGCGAATATTCTCGGAATCAAGAGGCAAATGAAGAATCTTTCTTGGCCTTATTAACCTTGTTCAAACGGTGAACGCAGCACCGTCGAAATACTCTAGATCAGAGCTCTAGGTAGAAATATATACCTTACCGAAGAATCCTCTCCGGCATCGCTCACCTTGCGAGCGGGTTTCTTACTGAGGATGATAGGCCAAAAGCTTTCGCACTCGGTCTAAATTCAAAATTCAAAACTTGTAAGATTGGAATTGTCATAGATTTCTTGAAATTTTATTAAGCTCATTTTGTATATATAACACTAACATAAAAACTCTAATAGAAACATGAGTCTCAAATCAATCTTCTATTTATTGATATTTTCATAAAGCTATTACTGTACTTCACAAAGTTTTCCGTGTATATATATTAAAAAGGTTGAACAAATTAGCCTATTTCAATTCAAGTAAAAATTAAAATAAGTCATATTTCTAAATTTGATATATATACTTTTAGAAAGAGAATTATTTTCTTATCTGAGTCCATGCGCATAGTCCGGGTCCGAGGGACACAGGGGAATCATGCCTGTATCAGGCCAGAACAAAAAAGCAGAGCTTTTATTCGCTTCGCAAAGGACCCGCCCGAACCCTAAGGGAAGAAGTCAAAATGTTTATGTTATAATGAAAAAATTAATATAAAAAAATAGGTTAATTTTATACATATACTAAAAAATTTCGTAATTTTAAAAATCAAATCAAATCAAATCAAATCACTGAAGTGAATTTATATTTAATGAAAACATATTAAATATGAAAACAGGAAATAATTCTATAAGTTCATTTTGTATAAACATAATTTTTTTCATTTTCTATTCAGCAAGCAATCAAGTCATATAGTCATGATGACATCAATTTTTTTACGTGAAATTGTAAATAAATATCAAGAAATTAATAATTTGCAATATTATTAATAAATAATAATATTTTTACGTAATTTTAATAAATTCTCTGATTTTACTGTTATAAAATTCATGAAAAAATTTTATATGTAAATTATATATGAATCTTCAAAAATCATATAAAAAATTCACATTAATTTTGAGTTTTTGAAAAAATTTTAAAGTAATATTCAAATATGATTGTTCAAAAGTTTTAGAAATTTGAAAGTTTTATTTAAATAACGCAAAACATTCTACTTTGTAAAGAAGGCTTACAAATTTCAAAAAATAAAATACCGATAGTTGGAAAATAAATTTGATTAAGTCATGAATCCAGGGAAATTACTTTATGATGCCCTTCCGAAACACGAAGAGCTTACTCTGACCCATCAAGTATAATTTACCTGATGGGACCCATCAACGAACACATTATCCATACCCGTAGTTTGAGTTCGGCAATGGCCTTGATTGAGAGGGTATGCGAGTGGAGCAAGGCGATGCACGACCTCGTGCTCCGGGATCCGACGAGTGCAATGGAAAATGGAAGGATGGATGTGAGAGTACGGTTGGGCTATGATGGTGTACAAAATGTTTTTCTCTCGTCGGTACGAGACGATGAAGTTTTCACGTTGAGACAGGACGGGCACAAATATTATTGATATTGTGCGCTCGCTGGTGAATGAACGTGTATGCGTATGCGGAGCAACTAGGTGGAGCGGAGAGTAAAATCGTGGATGAATGAATGTGTATGTGAATGCCAAGCTACCAGGTGGAGCTTTCCTCACACTAAAGCTGCCAACTATAGCCCGATAGCTGCAGTCACTCCCTTCCACTATAGTCCAAAGCATACAATTGTAAGAACTTTGTTTAGAAATTGGTGAAAGTGTGTCGTCCATGGGTCTCATCAGATACAATGATACGCGATGGGTACCATAAATGGAACTCATAACGGAAATGTTTTGGGATGGATACCATCAAATAATTTTAATCCATAAATTTCTCGTGTGAAGTTCGGTCACACATGTTTATGATTGTAGATTATATAAATATGTGTGGTCAAAAATTTTTATTGCATCAGATTTAATTCAAGGTAATGAACAATTCTAAAAATATAATTTTCAATGTAAATTGCGATATAAAATGTATGTCAACATTTCTTTATATGTAATTTTCACAAACACTTCATACTTGTGTTCTCAAAGATACAAAAATTGTAGTAAATGTATTTTTAATAGCAAATGATGATGAGATTTCAGATAATTTCATATATGCTGAATTGATTGATTTTCCTAAGTGATTATGATGAGCAAAAGTCAATCATTTTAATTGATGCATATCAAAGATTTAAAATGTATGTAATGTGACTTATATGAAAAGTTAAAGAAACAATCTTTTATATTTTGTACCTACGTTAAGTTCACGTATCATAAATTATATGCTGTTCAAAAAATAACAATTTTTTAAGATCAAGCATGCATCATAATATTATACACATGTTAATATGAAGAAATTTCACATGGTTAAAAACAACATTGAAAAATTATATCTATCTAAACAAGTAGAAAAAAACAACATATTCTGAAGTTTAGTTTTGATACCTAAATATTAATTCAAAATGAAATATACAACCTTTAGCATTGATTTTATGCAAATTATTGACATCATAAAAATTCCAAACTAAAATGCACATGAATTTGTATCACTATTATTGTAAAGCGTACATTCATGATTTCAAAATTGTTGTATTACGTCATAGAGTAACAAAATCATGTTTTTTGAAAAATACATCCTATGCTTGAGAAAGTGATATATATGTTCTCACAAAACATAATAATTTTATCAACTTTGCATCCATATATCTATACACTTTCAATGTCAGAAATATAAACAATTGATCTTCATAAATACACAAACTATATACATTTTTTAATTTTCTAAAATTACGATGAATAAAATTATTTATAAAATATCAGATTAATCGCATAAAAAATATTCATTGCATCAACAACAAAAAATAACACACAACATATAAGATTAAAAAATATTCCAATCAAACAATGAATTATCAAATATTTCAAAAGTACACAGTATTAAAATTTATTAACAATTTTAGAATTTGTTTAATTTTGATGAATTTTGATGATTAGTTTTTTCTTGCATGTTTTAAATAGTCGACACAAATAAAAGCACGTAGTCAACATAAAAAAGACATGATACTTTTCACTAAGATTAAATAAATTCATACACAATTATGATACTAAAAATTGTTGAAATATACGCATTTAATAAATTAAACAATTAAAAATGACTAAATATAAATTTAACAAGCATATGTGCTTACAAATTACACAAATATATATGATTTGACACTAAAATACTGCGTTCACAATAATCAACAGATTTTATTAGAAAACTAAACATTATTCAAAGGGAATTATAGCTTGTTTTTATTTATAGTTTTTAGCCAAAAATTCTAAACCTTAAACTAATATGAATTAATCTAACCAAAATTAATATTAGACCTAAATTAATACTAACAAATTTTCTTTATTTAATGTCGTAGGGACTTTTTACTCCAAATTTCATATAAATACTCTAAAAAAATGTAAATTATTATCTAATATATTTAATATTTTTATATTAATGTTAATCATAACTAATTTTTTGCCAAAAAATGATAAAATAAAACTATTAAAAGATAGTAACAGTGCTAGAAAGGGTTGCTTGTGCTACTCATTCAAAAGTTGCATAGTAGCACAATTTATTCTAAATTTTTTCTAAACATTAACTTTGATCAAATTATCATTTAGATTGAATATACTAACAATTTTGACTGGTTCAATATTTTTAAAAGATTTGCATCATTGATAAAATGATACATAATGTTCATGTGTTTCATGTTATTCTTCATCACCTGATTTGCAACAAGGTGTAACGAAGTCTAATTGTAAAAATAAAGATCAATTAATTTACATTTCAATCTCATTTTAATGATAAGACTATTCAATCAAAAATATTTCTTTGCTGTATAAAAAATATATATATTAATAATGATTTTACAAGATATTTTATTTCATAGTCCATGATTTCTGCAAAATTGACATATCTACAAAAAGATATTTTTTTATATGTTAGTGATGAATCTTATATCCAATAAATGTTGTTTTCTTGGATCTTATAGAATAAAAAATAAAGCCTTAAAAAATTATAAAAAATTATATTCAATTATATGTTTATTGAATTCATTCAAATGGTGTGAAGAGTTTGATTACATTAGAGTGAACAAATTATCATATACATTACAATACATTGAAAACTTAATATCCGAAATTTATGTGGTAAATTGGATTTGGTTAACATGTTGTGCAACTTTTCCAACACAGATAGATTGAACTTGTCAATATTGAACCTTGAACATTTTATTTTGGAATACAAATTGTGATAAGATGAAATATTATTCTACTTTCTTTATAGTGAACTTCAAAAAAATTTAGAAGTATACTTCTTTTGTCATCATAAGCCATTGGATTGAACTTGTCGTTGAAACCTGAGCATTTTTTACATAGCATATATCGTGATGAAATAACGAGTAGTATTATTATTTGCAATAACTTCAAAACTTTTTGCAAGTATACTACTTTTAGCATCATGTATCATTGTTAAACAAGTCATCATACTTAATATACAAATCTGGAGCCACATTGGCTAATAGAGTATCAGCACTTTTGATTCTCATACAACGGTACTTTTTAAGTAGTCACTCTTGTCATATTTTTAACATACTACATTTTTATTTTTTAAAAATATCCAGACTTGAATTTTAAGTCTAGAACTTTAATATTTATCTTTTTCAATATTGCATACATATGGTTTTTTCAAGTCACATTCATCATTGTGTCGTATGTAAGGAATAAAAAAATGATATTATCATCTTTTGCAATTATGTGAAAGCTATCCCGGGTTTTTGATCTATTGGACTAACGTTGGATTTTGATGAACGCAATATGAAAATCATTTATTCATGGCATTATCACCTTTTTTGTTACTTCATATTTTATAAGACTATACATATTTTATATTTCTATCAAAGTTTTCAATAAATTGATTTCAAGACAAGTTTGAAATATACTATTCATTTTTCATTACATACAAATCCAGAATATTTTCTGTATGTCTAGCCAGTTTTATTATAAGTTTCAATTTTTTTACTGATCATAACTTTGTAATGCTGTCATGTGAAACTGTAATCAGGAAGTAATCCTCAAAACATTAGTTCTTGATTTAAGATGTGATAGTTGCATGTGCATGTATTATGTATAAGGATTGTTTCTTCCGCATAATATACATACTACAAGTATGATCCATTTTCCAATGATAAGGTGATATTCATTTGGTGAAAAATCTACGTTTAAATTCAATTTGACGCGAACTTCAAGAGGAAGAATATTTTTTTTTTCAAAAATTTCACACTAGAACTAACACAAGGCTCAAGATGAAGAAAACCTTAAATGATTATACTTTTTGTTGTAGAAAGCTTATCAACAACTACAAGGAGATAAGATCTCATTTTCATGATCTATAGTATTCATAATGGATTCATGACATGACAAATAATTTTAACAAGCACACGGATTGTTAACATATTGCTCTTAACTAACACACTCAATCCTTACTTAATAATCACAAATTTTGCTAATATGTTTCTCTTGACTAACACACTCAATATCATAACTAACAAATACACAGATTGCTAATGTGTCATTGTCAACCAATACACTTACTTTCTACCTATTAAACTCATGAATTGTTGACATGCCGATTGTAAATAGTCTAATATAATACAATTATATCTCCAACTTCAGTAATCTTTACTTTAGTTTAAACTAACAAAAAATTATTACAGTCATCATTCTATTTCAATTTTATGTTGGATCTTATTCTTACATATTGATTCATCTCGTATTGAATTTATGAGTACAGGAAATTGATTTATGTATTTTGAATTTTATGTATGCAATTTTATTTGTGTTTTTCTATGAATTATTTTTCTTTTATACTTGTCTGTTTGTTTATTGATTCAAAGAAAGTCTTGATATCCATTACAAATAAAAACCCAAAAAATCACAAAAAAAACAAAGTAACATATGCTTGCAGAAACAAGTTGAGATGCCAACATATTACATAAAATATGAACTCAATCATTTGACTTTATTGATAATTTATTGAAGTTTATGATATCAAGAGTTTTTCTGTGACTATTTAGTCTCGTGAGAATTGTTAAATAATATATTATTTTTTCTTGTAAGAATTGAGATGAAAATTTAAATGCAATATTTAATCTTGATGATTTGTTCATCTTGTAAGTAATATTTTGACCCAAAATTTTTGAACAATTCTTAGTTTTTTTTCCTTAATGCATCCAAGCATCAATTATCAAACTTATGTTTTTATCTAAAATAAATAGGGTTGGCTTATAAAAGGTTTTAGTAAAAAATAAAAAACGAAAATAAAAAATTGATTTGGTTATAGATCAATGCTATGGTAATAAAAAAAATTTAAATTGATTGAAGATATATTTGTCATTATTTTTTCCATTAAAAATTTAATACAATATTGATTAAATATATATTTATTATCACTTTGAATCAATTAATTTAAATCCATGTAAAGATTCAAAACTTAAAATGATCTAATAAAATTAATAGATAGTATGTTGTATAAATTTAATATGTATTTCATATTAATGAAATCATATAACTAGGTTAGATTCAATATGATGTATATTTTTTTAATTTGGATTTATAAAGGATTTTATTAAATCAATATTTGAAAATCTATCAATAATTTTTCTATGATAGGTTACATCAAAATAATGTAGACAAAATCATAGTTATAGAAATTTTTCATAATAAGAAGTAAAGTATGAGACTAATGAATTAATTTGTCCTTATCTTCTAACATATTTTGATGTTATTTTCCAATTATTGACATTCTTTTTAGCTATGATCAATGTTTGAAATTTTATTGTCTATATTTTGTTAGCATATAAACAAAATCAATGTTTCTAAGGTGTAAATATTTTTATTGATCATTACATTTAAGATAGGATATAAATTTTTTATAAATGATAAATAATACTATAATATTGCTATATATTTAAATACAAGATGATAATAGTAATTTTTTGTAAACATATACATTTACGTACGCATGTTTATTTTTTTTATTTTCAAAAGGCCAGTTTTACAAATATTATACCTTATTTTTTGTAATTTGAAGATGCACATGAAGGTTTTACTGAAATTTTGTTCTCAATGGGGATACACTAGACATCATTTAAGGAATTCAAAGACTCAAGGAATTCAGGATTTGTAGTTTAACTTCATTTCAGAGAAAAAATATCTTCTGGAAAATTTGTTAGGAATATGTTCTCCAGAGTTTGAATTTCACTGAAATTGTTCAATAATGGAAAGGTAAGTCGCTACATGTTGACTTTGAGATTAAGATTATTTTAATTCATGAATGTCTTAAGACTTATTAGAAATATTTGCATTTCAATTGCAATTGATCAATCCCATTCATTCAAAACCTACACCTTGTAGGAAAATATGTATTCTTAGTTGGAAGGCATAGGAATGATACGCTTGTACGTTACAGTCAATAGATATAATAGAAAATATTTTGAAGTACATGATGAAGGGTTTACTAGTGGACTTCCATCCGTGTTATAAAAAAGCACTAACTTGTCTCTCCATGGGAGTCTCAAAATCGGAGGTGATTGGTGGCAGGCAAGGCAAGAACTCGTCGGAGAAAAGGTAAAAAACTTATGGAACTTGTGGGTGATGGGATGGCACACGCAGCTGCCGAAACGCAGATGGGTGATTGCTTTCAAAAGCAGAAGCAGGACAGCAGGACTCGAGGAGGAGCCTGCGCTGAATATTGGAAAAGGAGTGAAGGGTTCCAACCAGCCGCAGAGTGCATGATAGAATCAGAAGCCACGTGGCATAAGGGCCCACCCAATTGTAAGAGGAGCGCCAAATCTGAATTTGCATTTCCGCGCTCACACTCCTCTCTCTCCATCTCCCTCTCTATTCTATTCTCCCTGTTCGCGCGCTTTTAGTCCCAACGTCTGACTTCTCCCCATCGTCCTTCTCCTCCCATGATCCCACCCTTCCTTCCTGTCGCTCACTGACTGTCGGTCTGCCCGCTGTGCCCTCTCGCCTTCTGGGAGCTCTTCCTCCCATGACATGCCATGCCGACCAATTCCACACATCCATCCATGAGCATACTTTGCATTCCTTGCCATGCATAGTTTGTCATCTTCCTGGCCGTCACTCTCCCGTGATCTACGTTCGCCTCCAGATCGCTTCGGGTGGGCGTTCGAGATTGGCTCGCGGCAGCTGACACTCTCCTACACTTGACCGAGTGGACTGGTCCTAATCGGAGCCTTGGTTGATTAGTCTCTCCAATTTCAAATTTGGTCCTTTGCTCTTTCCTCGAGGCACACCAAGGACGTACTCGTTTACGAAATTGCGGGGGTATCGTCACACATGTGCCGCTCTGGACACGAAGTCGAGATTGGGACACGGTGTTTACTACAAGTGGGAGTCGAGTGCTCGACCTCGCTGGGGAGCTGAGGATTCTCTACCATTGTGAGTTTTGAAATATGCATCCAGCAGGTCGCCAGCTTGATCTGTATATTGAACACTGAAGTTAGGACAGAGTGAGGGGCTTGAGTGGAATGTAGTGAACGAGAGAAAGTGGGTGTACAGTCTTCTTTCTGCTGGCATAACCGAGGGATGATTTTCTTTTGTTTGGGATCGGCAGTCGCGGTTGGCCTGCTTCGCGTCACTTGAATGGCGCATTCTTTTCTTTTTCGTTCCCAGGTTGTCAGCATTGGTCTGATTTGAGTTTGGTGCCCATATCAGTGAAGTGTCACGACTGCGAAGAGTTAGTTCATCGCCGCAGCAAATTTCTCTGCTGGTCGCGAAGGTGTTTTTTGACGTCGACCAGTGCTTTCACGATCGAAGCGAAGGTCAAGCAGCTTGGCCGAGGGCAACACCTTTTGAAAGAGGTGATTCTGCGGAATAGTTGGACACACTGCATCGATCAGTGGAGCTAGCTTCCATGCCTCCTCTTCGAAAAAAGGGGCGAGGAGGAGGAGGGGGGAAGACTGAGGCCCCTCTTCCTGGTCAGGTGCCCGGGGTGTCACCCTCCGTTTCAGCTAGTCTTGCAAGGAAAGAGAGGGAGAAGCCGAGGAGTGCATCCACGCATGGAGGTTTAGAAAATCTCGGTGTTTTTGTATCGAGAAGTTTTCAAAAGGAAAGAAGTGAGAAAAAACTGTTGGAGTCCTCCCGAACGTCATTGCATTTGACAGCAGGTTTCTCTCAAAGATCATTGAGAGTGGCTTCGCGCAAAGCGGAGCCCATTTCTATGGACAGTACTCCAAGACTGTCTGATACGAACGCCAAACGGGAGGACCGAGATAAAAGATTCGTAGATGCTGCTGCCGTTCAGAGGAGGTCACTGTCTTCCGGCTACAAAAGCGCTTGCCGAGGCAGAGACGAGCCTGCGGTTTGTCGAACATCGTGCCGGGAGCTGGGAGACGACAAAATTCTGTATAGGAGATCTCTCAGGGCAGGAGGAGAAGAAAAGCTCGTGCGAAGGATATCTCGGAGGGACGACAAAACTATCGAGTATTCGACGAGGTACAATAACTTCTATCCTGGTATTTCGGGAGGGAAGGAGGTAAGGGAGTCCAAATCGGTTGATGGCGGGTCTTTGAAATCGTGCACAGTCGGGACCTCGTCGCAGCGGTTGGATAGGGTCGAGGATGTGAATGCATTGAGGGCGTCACCTAGTTCGCCTGCTCTGGTAAGGAAATCTCCTCGCCACTCCGATCTAGTGAATGTTAGCTCGCCCATCGTCAATCTCCCTGTGAAGTCGAGCTGCAAATGTGGTGCGTTTCGCAGCTCGGATGCCGGAAGCTCTCCAAGTGTTCAGCAACACCAGCAGGACAAACTTGGCATTATTGGTGTGGGGAAGCAAAGTGGGGCCTCTCCCATTTTGATGTCTACAAGCACAGAAATCGTCCGGAGCGAGGGAAGGGAAAGACGGTCCCGTGAACTGAGTGACAGTGGTGTAGCAACTCCCACGCTGGTTCCCGTTCATCAGTCGAGATCATCTAATGGTAGCCGGTCTAGCACCCCCAATCTTCTACAGGGTCGTCTGGCTCTTCTCGAGGGAAGAGTCAGTCAGATTGCCGCAGAGCTGAAGGCGACTAAGGACCTGCTCGACGCTAACAACCCAGCATGCTCGAAAGCCGTTCTCACTGACATACAGACGAAGATCCATGGTATCGAGAAGGCGATCAACTACAGGCTTGCCAAAGAGTGTGGCCTGGTTGACCAGCTAGAGGCTCAGGAACTCAAAGGCCACTATATTGTGGCGAATGACGTCCCCGGAAGACTTCCACCAACATTAGAAGGAAAGAGCAAAATGTTGGGCAGAGGAAGCAAATCGTTATCCAACAGCGATTTGGTCGTTCATAGTCAAGGCATGTTTGGTAAAGCATCCAAGAGTGTCCACAATGGTAGAATCGTGGCAGTCAACGGAAGTGTCCCTTATGAGGGCACTACATCCATGTCTGCTGCAGAGAAGCTGTCTCAGATTGCGTCCCTGGCCGTTCCTCGGGGCAAGGAGCCCAACATTTACCACTGCATTGAGCAGAGTTTTGCAGGGGAAGTTGGAGGTTCCGCACCTTCCAGCCATGTAAAGCCAGTTTTTGATCACAATGAGTTCGAGGAAAGACTATATCCTCACCAGAAACTCTTGAAAAACAGGCCAGGTGTGCACCAGAAGCTCATTGAGAACAGAGCTGCTCTGCACCAGAAGCTGGTGGAGAACAGCGTGCTCCTCAGAAACAAATTGGCTGCCCTGGAAGAGCGTGACGGGCTGAATTGTGTACTGGAAGATGGGGAATATGGAGCAGCAGAATTCATCAGCTCATTGAAGCAAGGTGCTTTGAAGGAGAAGGAGTACGAGCGTGGAAGATGTATTCGGGCTGAGCCGGGTCAATCGAGTGCCACTGGTTTAATCGTCGGCGAAGCCGGAGATCCATATCCTCCGGGCTATACTGATTACGAAGGAGACATGATGATATTGCATTCAAAAAGCAGAGGTCCGAAAGAAGGGAGGAGATTTTCCACTTCAAGGAAGAGTTTTTCCGGTACTCCGTCCGATAGGAATGAGCCTCCCTTTCACTTCATGGACAAGGGGTCCGGCAGCAGGGGAACTTCTGATCGGAGGAAGCGGAGCTCAGAGAAGAGGAAGAGCATTTCTACCAGTGATTGTGGTTCCCCGGAGATTGGCAATGGCGCCAGCCAAATTGTTATGCTTGAACCCACTAGAAAAATAGGTGGGAACACCACTAACAAGAGCAGTAGAAGCCAAGCTCTTATCACTCAACATTATCATCACCCAGTAGAAATCGAAGAGATCAATTTGGCTTGCCCAGAGGCTAGTGTTACCGATTTGAATTTTCCCGACGAAGTCGGGACAACGGCTGAAGAGTGGGTGAGTGAAAGCCAGCAAAACGTGGCTTCAATTACATCTAACTCTCCTCTAAGCCTGCTATGCGATGAAGCTGTTCGATCCAGTCTTGGTTGCGACGAAAGTTTGTCATCGGAGGATGCCAATGATGTACAAGACTATGTGCACCCTGCCGATGATGAAGAGCAGCCTTATCTTGCGGAATGCGAGGACAACGTCCCAAGCGAGAGGTTGCATCAAGTTGGAGACAAAATTGCTACTGCCGGCTGGTTCATGTCTGAGGGTGAAGGCGTATTGCTCGCGCACGATGACGGTTACTGTTCTTTTTACGACGTACTCAATATGGAGGTAAACGTCCCCATTTATGTCCCCATAACTCTTGCTATAGTGAATGATTTGGTTCGGGTATGCGATGTCATCGACATTGTTTGTTTTGAGTACGCTTGGAGTGTCTTGAAACCGTCGTGCATAACACAGAATTCTACTTGACATGTTCTGTTTGTGACAATGCGCTAAACCAAAGTGGTAAGCACTAGTGATCGCTGGAGGGTGCAACTACGATAAAGATTATATCATCAAACTTTTGCTATCAGACTATCTTCTTCAGCCGATGACCCTCGGATGCCTCACAATCTGACTTGATTTGCAGGGCAAAGCAAATTACAAGGGCCCCGAAAATCTTTCGTCCGGAACATGGCGAGACTGCTGGCTCATCAGAGCCGCTGGTCCCGACGGTACGTCGAACAAATACATTGTCGCCGCATCTGCAGGCAGTGCGGTTGATGCTGCATTCTGTTCGTGGGATTTTTACGACAGGAGACTCACCGCATATCACTATGAGTCTTCGTCCGTACATCCATCTCCCAGCAATTTCAGCTTCAAAAGTTCTGCGTCCAGCAGCCCTGAGCGACGGCGTGCCATGTCCAGAGACAAGCAAAACGCAGGATGTTTTTCTTGGTACAGTGGCTCTGAAAATGGTCAACTTCTTAAAGGAAAAGCTCAAAGTAGACCCCTAACTGATATAAACTCGGGGGCTTCTTTTACGACGAGTTCTTTGGGCCGGTCCGATAGTGAATTCGCGGATACACCTCTCTGGTGGTACAGGCCCAGTAGTCCTCTGGTCGCAGCTGCGGGTACGAGCTTGAAGACCGTTTCTCTCTACGATGTTCGTGATGGGGATCTTGTAATGAGGTGGGATCTCAGTAAGTCGGTGGCTTGCATGGACTTCTGCAGTCCAATTCAGTGGCGAAATAAGAGTAGGCTTGTTGTGGCGGAAGATCAGGCTTTGAGCCTTTGGGATGTAAATGGGATGACTCCCCACCCTGTGTTACAGATTAACTTAAACGGGAAGCAAATTCGTGCCCTCCACATTCGCAATTCCGACGCGGAAAGTGCTGGAGGTGTTCGGCAAAGGTACGCGTCGTTATAGAAGTTTTAGTTTTGTGATATCGAAGTCCTTGCCAGCAGGAAATTGGTGTCTTGTTGTATGCACGCAGTGTTTGTATTCCTGCGAATGCCAAACTCATCGATTGCCGCCTGCGATCACACGAATGTTAGAATGAGAAATGAATGTTAGAATCTTACCAGAATGCTGAGCTACTTCTGACATCATATTTCGAGAGACCCGTACATTCTAATAGCGGTTTCGGGAACATTTCTGTGGTTGTACCTAACATAGCTGTGACACAGGTTGAGTTCTCGAGACGGTCAGGCTGGAGATGGTGTCCTTTGCACCGAAGGTGCAGTAAATATTTTGGACTTCAGAGTTCCAGCTGGTGTTGTGTTGAAAATTCCCACATTCGGGGCTCAGACTCACTCTGTTGCCATTAATGGGGATCTGGTGTTTGCTGGAGTAACCGAGTCTAGCAACAGATCCGTCCATAACAGTGCCGATGCTGATGGAATCGGATCTTACAAGGAGAACGTACAAGCCAAAATTCTGCAGTGGTCCATTAAGCAAGGGAAGCCAATGAGTGTCTACAAGTTTCCTCAGTCTGCTGCCCATCAAGCACAACAGTCTATAGCTCAGGTCTGGGGGAATGCCGATACTGTCATGGGTGTAAACGGAAACGGTCTCTTTATGTTCGATGCCATGAAGGGAGCAACGGTTGGAAGGGAGGGAGGACAATCTGTTCGAGAAACTCTTGGTACAGATGATCTATTTCAACCTTCATTCGACTATGCAGGCTGTAGGGTCTTGCTTATATCTCGAGATAGGCCTGCAGCTTGGTGCCACTGGCTATAAGGGTTCTGGCGCCTGCAGGGGTCATGTTTCACTCCACCTTCACCGCTCTTCTCAACGAACGGCTGGGTATGTACTTCAAGGAGACGGAAGATTTGTGAAAGCGCAGATAATGGCAAGAACCTGGGCGTTGTCACTGTTAGTCATCTCGGATTACTTCAGTTTCTTCTGTTCACCTTCATCACAAGCTACTTTCTTTTAATGAATTTCTTGTATAGACGAGCGACCGACGCATATCCACGTGATCGATTTCAGCAGGTTGAAAGCAAGGCAGGGTAGCAAGAAGATCGGCCACTCTCGACTGAGTCACGGACTGGGTTCCTCCATGGATATTTAACAAACTTGTTCTTTTGATGGCCGGGGAATACGTGTCCCGCTGCATCATTGCAACCGTTTCGCTGAGAAAAAACAGAGGCGCTAGCTGTGCATTTCTGAACTCCGAGTCTCCGGTAGTAGGCTTGGTCTTTGATGATTGTCTGGACAGGCTTATCACTGAGAAAGTAGCTGTCTTTATTGGGAAGTTCCAGCGGCGATTCTGCTTGCCTGGCATGGACTACCGTTGGACAATCGGTGGAATTGTACATCAGCTGGTTAACCCGTAAATTGTTAAAAAAGTACTATGTATAACCAGACAGCCTTCCCAACATGTCAGAGGAGACTACTTTTTGAGTCTTCTACTCTTCTACTTCTTCCTTTCTGTTATTCTAGGTGCTTCATTCTCTCGCGCCTCAGTCGAGCTTCACCCAGGCTTTTAATTCCTCTCTGATCGCCGTAAAAGGCGTTCATGGCCGCAATCAAAAGTATTCATGGGATTACGAGGTGGCTAGGTTGAGGCCTGTTGTAGTGGAATTTGGGAGAAGGATACGGGGCGGAGAGATGTGTTTTCTTGCAATGCAGTTGATGAGAAATGCCGAACCGATGGGGGCAATTCCATTGAACAGGATTCCGCCTCTTGGTTTTATATGTAGAGCTGGCCAACGAGCTGGTGCACGGTCTCAGAGGATCGTCCACCAGCTGTTCTATGATTCGACCAGCAGCTTCTATTTATGCAACTGTTAGTTGATGAATTCGAGCTCGTGCGGATGGCGGCTCGTATACTGTACTCATGCTACGGGTAGTTTTCATAATTCTTTTGGTCAGGCTGACTTTACCCTATCCGAGCTCTCGGACAAGCTCGGAGCTGCTTTTCTCGACCATTGGCTCTACGTTGAAATGTCTGCTGGAACCTCATGATTTCTTGATACTGCAAGCTTCCTCATGTAGTCTTGTAACAGTTTTCGACGGAGCAAATTCGCAGTTCTGCTTCGTCTGGCCACAGTGGTAGGTGTAGCAGTATTTAATTCTTAGCGCCATGTTTAGATAATAGTAGGGAGACGATATTCCACTTGATAGCGAAGGGGCAGCAGTGTAGAGCACCATCGGTCATGGATGTTTATATGGGAGGACTTTAAAAATGTGAATAGCTTCAGGTTCAAACTTTGCTTGCCCTTGGGAGCAGCTCTCCATGAGCTCTTTTCAGAATCGCGGGTTTCGTATCGTGTTGCCACGTCTTATCAATACAACAGAGAGCGTATGATGGGCGGTCATCGCAGACGTTGGAACCTTATGTTTTGTCATTAAGTTCAAGTTGAAGATAAGCTAGAGTGTGATCTAACTTGAGACGTTGTGGGTACTGTATTGGAGTTGCTGAAGTAGGAGTTATGTCTCGAGAAAAGTTTCTGCCACCCTCCAACAGTCTTCTGCTATCGTCGAGTACTGTACGTGTATATTAGCGGAACCACAGGGAAATCAGTAGTCGGAAGTCACTGGTTGACGTCAAGTCTTGTGATCAGTTATGTCATCAGCCATGTTCATGGCAACGTCATCTAGCTACGCCATTCATGCCTGCAAATGGCTCTTGAAGACGAACAGTAGAGGTTGATTGGGCATGCACGTGAACAATTTTCAAAGTACCGTACTGACAAGGAATATGCCTATATAAAAAATTGTAGATATCTGCTGCGTCCACTGGGCTCATTTATAACGGGGCGAGAGAGTTGGCAAGTGAGATTGCTGTAGACAGGCCTCCTGCTCTGATTGCAGCATACAGTCCAGACGCAGCCCCCGTAGGATGTACGCACAGCTGTGAAATATGCTTTCATATCGTCTGCATCGACAATCCCTCATGCCACACCGACACATGGTGTCAGGAGAAGTTTTGAAGGGGATCAAGCGCCGGATTTGCCCTTCCAACTCTCATCTACTTCACCTGCTGGAAGTTGCGGAGCCAAAGCAAAGTATACATTCCGTTCATGAAAGGCGGCCGGCGATCCATGTCGTTCAGCCGGTTGTGGGCATATGAAGGACTTTTTCTCCTTCTCACAACGCTCCGTTCAGGTCGAATGAATACTGCAGTTTCCGCTCCAGTTAACGTCATGATTTGTATTGTGAGCCCGTACTACACAACCGAGTCACAGTGGGCGATGGTCACCAGGTGATAAACAACGCGCGCAGCGACCTCACAATGAATCATCATTCTCGGCAATAGCAACCCGACACTCTAGAGTTGCTCTGCACAATCTGCACGGCCTACACCGGAAAGAGTGTACAAAACTGCTTCCGTACTTCAGAGGGTAGGTGAAGTCATCATCTACAGTCCCTCCTATCCAAGAGCTCAGTATATAACGTAGACGTACACCAGCGCTTGGAGCCCCTGGACTCTCGCACACAAACGGTAGAGGTGTGATATCCATGTAGAGTATCAACTCAATAGTCACAGTACATTATAACGTCCCGGTGAGAGATATTGCAATCAATTGGTCTGACTGTTGATTGATAGCGCGTGTCTTCATGGATGTGGACGACACAGTCATCCCCGACAAGTCGATCGTATCGATCCACATTTATTGTCATTATCAGGAGCTTTGATCAAAAGCTGGGCTTCTGTAACCCGTGTCTCCCAAGCCGATGCACGTCTGTAAAGCTTGCCTTTCTTTTCATCCCCGCATCATATCCGAACCCAAGGGCAACTTTACCAGCAGGTCTGTAAGAGCTTTCACGGGAATACCCACAAAACTCAGATCTAGTTACTATGGGGTACATGCGTTTCTCACAAATGGAACATACGACTACTGGATACAGTCTTGCTTGCTCTTCAATTCAATAAGGACGAGGTTAATTATCCTTCAGTTAGGACTAATTACTTTACAATACGAAGTTTTCTTATTGGTCGATGCATGTAGTTAGTTTTCTTATATATATATATATATATAGGGGAGTAGTATCCGCAGGGTAACAGGGATGCTACAGGGTGTTCCCCTCACTTTACAATACGAAATTTTCTTATTGGTCGATGCAGGGTGCATGCAGGGGAGAAGCAGCGCAGGGATACAATAGCAACTATAAGGTGTTCGACACAATATAGTAGGGTGAGGGATAGCTAGCCATTACGGTCTCTCTAACCATGATGTATTGGTCAGAAATGTTGATGATAATAAGACATTTATGAACGTGACTACGTGTGAAGATACAGTATATTGTCTTGAATAATCTCCTTTACTGCGATATGCCAAATTTTGTCTATAATCGCAACCAAATGTGCTTCTTAAGCTCACAACAGGGACTTCAGTGAAAATTTTTCAATATTGTAGGTTACCTGTTTATCCCAAGGCTATTGGAATCACTATCTAAATGTTAACCCTCTATAATGGCAATCACATAATAATTTCCATGACAAAAACTCGAGTCTAGTATTAATTTTCAAATTGGACAAATATAACTAGTCTCCTACAACTTAATCGAGCTGGTTCTGGGGTCACTATGTGACTACAGCCTCCGTGCGGTGTCGTAAGGAGTACATACTAAAGTGGACCTCCAACTTACAGTGTAAACCAAATTTAAAAATTTTCTAACCATTCTGGCCAGATTTCCAAAGGAGTTGCAGAAGGATTTGCAGGTTCACCAGTCATTGAAGGTTTGAAATAGCTTGAAGGTTTGAAATATTTTTCAAATGATAAATTTTACAATTCCATTCTTGCTAGATGAATATTATTTTTTAAGATTTGTAATTTCATTTCATTTCATCTAATTTTAAATTTGAGATTATTCTAAAATAAAACAAAACATATTATAAATTACATTCAAAATAAATTCACATACAAGAACATCATGAATAATATGATTATCAGATTTAATTTTTTACAATTGACCAAAAGGTGTTGTACATCATTACTACGATTTGCATATAAAATTGATGTTAGTTGATTTTTCATAATTTGATAGTTGTGATTGTAGAAGATCATTAGAATTACAATGAAATATATATCGACATTTCAAATTCGTAATATGGAAGAAGTATCAGGTTATTTAACATTGAATGACATGTGATGGAGGAACTAAAAAAAACCTGGCAGTAAAATTCAACGGTGATCATGGCCATACTGTACTTAGCTAATATATAAAGTAGCGCAATTTAACAAAGCGCATAATTTGAGTAGATTTGATATTTCATTAATCAACGGCTCCTTTTTCATGAAACGAAACTTGTATTAGTGCAAATATGTTTTATTACAATAAATTTTGATTTTTAAAAGCAAGAATTTTGTCATCTTGATTCATAAATTTTTTCAAAATTAACGTATATTTAAATAAACCTCATAATTTAAGAAGTTTGTAATGATAGATATTGAGGTAATCAATTATAAACATTAAGTTATGTTTCAAATTCGTTACTTTTTTTGGCCTAAATTTAAGATTATTTCACACTGTAAATTTAGCACAAGGACATAAGATATAAAATAGAGAAGAAAATATCTATTTACGATGAAATTAGGGATATGATCTTATCACGAGGCGAGAAAATGAAAATCATTTGAATGTAGGATTGGTATGTTTGCAGTCGATTGAAGTTAGAATATAGAGCTCTTCTTTTGTTTGACCGTGGCAGATTTGTCTTGTAACTTCCTTCAGCCCATGGTCTAAAGTAGTCATTCGATCTTCACAGGGGCTTGTTGGAGGATTCCCAGATCTGAATGGAGGATCACAATATCATCCGCGGACCGGATGAAAAGAGAGAAACTGTCTGTTGATTTTCCCAACGGCTTTCCCTTTGGTGCGTGGGGGTTGAACGATACACATATATGTTTTAAGATTCAACATTATTATTGAAGGCTTATTGATTATTGGGCTTTTAGAAGATTTCTTATTGTTTAAAAATAATGTTGGTCATCTATTCTAGTAGATGGTCAATGAGTTGAGTGGCAAAATTTTATAAAATAGAATTTTGAAGAGAAAAACCAACTATATTAAATAAATATTAAAATGCTTCAAAGATTTGAATGGTTCATTAGTATTTTTAGCATCTTACATTCAGAATTTAAATTTCACTATTTTAAGGTTTTGGGTATATTGTATCTAACTTCTAAGTAGAAGTTACATACAATATAGCTAAAATTTAAATAATAAGAAATAATAATTGTCAATCACATGATAATTTTTTGATTTTTATGTAGTTTTATAATTAATAATAAATATGATAAACATACATATTTCTATTTTATATTGATCCATAATTTGGACATGTCAAGGAGAATGATAGTACATGTTCTTCATTAAGATATGGGAGGCTATATGTTATTCATTTGCTTTCATCTTTATTTATTAACTATACCCATATTTTTGTTTTCATTTTCTATTTCGAGTTATAACTACAGTACTAAATCACATGCATCAGTGATTAACACATCTAACAGAATTGATGGTAGAGTCTTCTTCATAGACATTGACCAAGCTTTCATGGCTTCGTATATCTTAAACGGCCACTCAACTTTTCTCGAATTTTTCTGCAATCGTCTGATGAAGAAATCTACCAAGAGACCGACAATCTGGACCCTACAATATCATTTTGAGCTCCAAACGAGGTGAATTCTGTGCTGAGGAGTCTCATCGATCTTGTCGACATCAAGCAAAGTTCCAAGTAATCAATAGTACACCAACCATAGTACGTTCTTCACCGACACGAATTGGATTACAACTTTTTTGTTATCCCTTTCATGATATAATAAGAGAATAGATTATCTATCTAATTCCCAATAGCAGCACCTCAATGGGTGATTGGTGTCCTCGAGTTGCCAAGACATTCATATTTTTGAAATTTTGTATAAAAATTATTTTCTCGCACTTTATGTCAGAATCCTGAGAATATATATATATATAATCATGTACCATTTGAAATAAGATAGTTAAAATTCTGAAGTTATGATAATAGATTTTTTAAGTTCATGATACTATCGGAGGTAGCCAGATCCTACCCGTTTGGTTTACTCCCGTATGAATAAAACGGATATTCTTTTGTTCTTGCTATATTACTTGATACTCTTGGACTTGCAGTGTACTTGTTTACTTATTTTTACGGTAGCCACTTACCTTAAGATATCTTTTGTTGACTTCTACAATTTAATTGATCACGTGACCAACGAGTGTGTGTCAAGTGATCAAAATAAATGATAATACAAATATTTTATTCTTGAGTAAAATATCTTTATTAGAATATAGATTGGATACCTAAACTTTAGATTTGATTTAAAATAAAAAGAGGAAATATTTTACCTAAATCCATAAATAATATTTTTCAATAAATAAAATTAATTTTGATATATATTAAAATGTATTCATGTTCTGTGATAATTCAGGTACTCTTGGTTTAAGTTAATGAAGCTAGTCAGTT